TGTATAAATTAGATCTACGCACAAATATAAAATAAAACTGAATACCTAGCTATATATAATTGTACTTTTCAGTTCTCCTAAAAATGTTGACAAATGTTTGTTATACTATATAATATTATGATATTGTACTCAGAGCCGCATATAAAGGGCAGTGGAATTATACTTATTTGTTTCCTCTCTAACCTATCACATATAACATTATATAGAAGAAATATTAAATAACCTTAGAGCAAAAACATTTATTTAAAAAATTACGGAAAGTAATATTTTTAAGGGTTTATTGTTTCATAATTTTTTTTTTTTAAGCATTACATATTAAACTGTTTTGTGAGAATAATTAGACAAATTTACATGTCACACTATCTAAAATATTATTTTCTATAGTTATGGATGATTTTATTCTAAAAGACTAAAATTACTCAAAAACCAAAAAAAAAAAAAAAACCCATTTTATATGAACATATGGACCAGAGAGAAATAAAACAGATTTTGTGCTGAAATCCTTATAGAATAAATGTGCTTAAAGGCAACGACTTTATCTACAACGTCCTAATGTTTTGTGGAATCAAAGAAAAAATAGAATTACAGTAAAAGCATTTACATCATTATTATTTAATAATATGTATCTTTATACAAAAATAATGATAAATATACGAAAGACGCCATTTATTCACATTGATGTTACTCAACTCATTACTATTAAAATTAATCTGTTAATAAAAAAAATAATAAAGATATGATGTTCTTATTTAGATATAGATAAAAAAAATTAGTACCTTTGAAAAATTTGGCGCTACACAAGCAAATGCCTTTAAAAGTACTTAACATTTAACCAGGCTTTGATCGAATTTATTGATTGTGAAAATTATTTAATCAAAAAACAAAAAAAAAAAAAAATAAATATTAATATATTATTATTATTTTTATAGATAGTGATTATAAAAGGTGTATTGTAATAGTGAGTATATTTTCCAAATAAAAGCCTGCAAATTAAATATTTCTGCAACAATAGGAGTAGTGTTATATATATGTTTAAATACATCAAAGTATATTATCAAGCCTATTTGTTTAAAGTTTAAACTATTTAATGGTAACTTCCTGTTTCGGTTAATTTTAAAATTTTTACAAACATTACATTTCATACACTGTATACGTATATGAGTTTCATTTATTGATATAACCATACAAAATTATATATATAAAAAAAAATACATTAGATTTATCCAATGTTTTAAAAAAAAATAATATTATAATTGGGGTTCATGGAGTATAAATACTTATTAAAAAATACACGAAACGAGTTTCTGATTTAACAAATTTCGAATTATTAATAAAATTATTTTAGTTTTTACGTGTAATTTAAGTAAAATTGTAAAATGTTATTACCTATAAAGATCAACATGAACTGTACCAAAAATATACTTTTTACGTTGGAATGACGTTTCTCACCTTATTAAAGTAAAAGTTAAGAATATTTTGTTTTCATTTTAAACAATTTAGTTCTCAAAATTAACACACTTATACACATTGTTTTGGCTGTAGAAAATTTGATTTTCACAAAAACGTAAGATTTAAAATGTAATTATATCACCCAAGAACGATACTTATTTTAAAAACTAGATATATTTTTTACTTCAACTTTAAAGTAGTTTAAATTTACTTATTTATTTAAATTTCGTAGATAAATCATTTATTCATAAATGCGAAAAACATGATACTTGAATATTATAAATAGTATGCATATTACACAATAGTGATGGTCTTTAAATACATCTAAGTAAAAATATCCTGAATTCATTTCAAATTTCCTGTTATTAATGCTATGGCAAAATTTAATTGAATGTCAACGAAGAGTTTTACGTGAGAAACAATATTATCAAACTTTTAATAATTTATTTAAACGCTTTAAATGTATATGGTACTTGAGTACAAAAATAAATTAATGTACGATGTACTTATATAATATGACAAAATATGTATAGGTATTTAACATTACAAAAATGAATACGAATTCGATATTTTATTTTCTACCATTGCTATAGTTATTACAAAATAATATTAGCTTATCTCAAGATATTTTAGTAGAAGCCTAAGAAGACCAATCATACAACAAAAAAACTATAAACATTATATAATTTTTATAAAAATGTACACAGCATGTAATGGTTTTATTTTAAAAGACCATTTCATGTGCATAAAAAATGACAATAACTATTTTGTAAACTTATAAACTAGTAATCTTAAAATATCACGTGTATTTAAACAGTTAGAAAAAATTTAGTAGTACCTAATAAAAAACAATAAATTAATAAATTAACCATGTTTTAAGTAAAAAAAGTAAACCCCATAAAATTCATAAGATTCGTATATAGATTATAAATAGTATGTATATACTATGTACCTATATTGTTTTCAGTTGTTACAAAAGTATAATATGGAATATATAATATAAAAGGGATTGCCTTTCTATAGATTAATTACTTACAGAAAAAAAAATGTTACTAATATAATAGATCTATCACATAATGGAGGTAAAAGTTATGATTTAAAACAGTGATAATAATACAATAAGTGTTCTTACGTGGCTATAGGTCAAAGGTACATACGTAAAAAAAACTATCTATTTTTGAATTTAATTTACAAATATCAGAAACAGAAACATTAATACATTATTAAATTATAATAATTTAATACAAAATATTAGACATGAAAGGATTTATGTAATAGTTGATTATACTTTAAGATCTTTTATTTTAGTCGAATCAAAAAAAATGTATTGTTATTAATTATTTGTTTTTAGAAAATAAACCATGTAAGTAAATCGTAAAAGCGAATATTTTAATTACAACAAATTCTAGACTTTCGTTGAATAAATAAACGAAAAAACTTTATTTAAATCCAAAGCTTAATTACAACGTATAACAATGCTATAATTTAATAATTATGACGTAATAAAAATGTATTTCTTTAGTATATTATGGTATGTTAAATTTTTTATAGTTTTTAATGTAGGATAATCTGCAGATGTTTAAAAAAAAATTCGTATGCACGATTTGTTTTATAATATAATATTTATAGGCTCTGTAACCAAACCTAGAAAAAAGATAGGTATTCATTGTAATATTTTTATAATTTATATCCTAAGAACAAGACAAAGGCGAAGACGTGAAGTGATGTATTAAGTATATAAAAGTGTTAAAGTTTTTAATAAAGGAACATAAAATTATATAGGTCTCCGTGTATTATATAAATATTAATAAAAATATATTAAAAAAATTAAAAATACTTTATTATAATCCAGTTATATTCTACCAATGTTTTGAGAAAAGTATATTATTATAATTTAAAATGTGGTATAGTTAACTAGACATTATTTTATGAAAATCCTACATTAATATTTAAAGATTTTATAGGTACTGTGTTATTATTGTGTAATTATTTCTGCAAATTAACCTCCTATTGTAACGTTAAGTGCACACATAAATATAATAGATGATAGAATAGAATAAAACATTAAACATCAATATAAGATAATCTTTATAACTTATAAATTATAAAGTTATAAATCACGATCTGTATTTTTACAAGCGAAAAAAAAATAATAACACTATAGTTCATATTTAGATGTTGTAGACTATTATTGAATATATTAATAAAATATCGGAGTATTACGTTATTTATTTATATTAGGTCATTATAAAAGAAGTGTGATGGAAAATTAAATTTAAGATGTTCGAAAAATATGTTAAATTTTTTTTTTTTTAATCCATAGATTGGTTAAATGATTTCAATGGCTCTCCACTTGTTTCTATCCACTAAAAGTAGCTGTAAGGGATAAGTGGAGAACCATTGAAGTCATTTAATCGATCTAAAAATTGAAAAAAAAGTGTTAAATTAATAGTATCAGGTAAATGTTTACTAATCTGAAATAATTATGCAACGTCTAATTAAGAATTTTTTACCTCATATTATACAGGTATACTAGCTATTCCTGTACATTTCGTACACGTACAAAATGCATCCGTGTTAAATGTCGTTGCCTAGTGCTAAAATTTAGCGTAATGCGTGTGGATAAATAATATTTTTGATTTTTTGATTCAATGTATAAACGATATTTTCGACATACAACTTAACATAGCTCTCTTGCCCAACAGTGCTTTTTAACCATTTAACAGTGGCATTTTTTAAATTTTTTTTCTATCAAACAACCCAAGTTTTATTTCTCTTTTCGTTTTAGATCAAAAACTAACAACTCATACAATTTCAATAGCGTGAACCAAAAACAACAAAAAAGTTTTAACTGTTATAGGTACTAGTATACTATATAAATTATTCATTAAAATACAAATTTCTAATAATAACTTATAACTGGTTACACAGATGAAAAAAATAAATATCATTATGTACGTATTTGTCAATTATTTAAATAATTAATAACTCAATCTTTCTTTAAATTTATAGAAACAAAAATAGACTAAAAAGGTAATCCGCAATGTGTACATCTTTTATTTGAAAAAATCAAGATAATCGAATTAGTAGTTTCAGAGAATATACGTGATAAAAATTTCCATTTTCACATTTATATATTATAGGCCATATAGCTTTAATAAATATGTCAAAATGATCACTAACAAAAATATATTGCGCACGATACAAATGCTGTTATAGAAATATATAAAATCTATTCAATTCAAGTATTAGAAATTAATTTAGATTATACGGCTTCAATATTATGTAGTAAGAAACTATACGTATTACGTATTATTACTTCGATTTGGTAAAAATTATGTTTTGTATCAATGAGATTGTAAATGGATGAAATATGATATATACTATATATGTATTATTATGACAAAATTTAAAATTAAACCTACGATTAAAATTATAAAATAATGAAACTCTAAATAGAAAAATCAAGGATTTTGTTGATCAAATATTATTTTTTTTTTCAAATAAACTTAAGTACCTAATAATAATTGATAGTAGAAGTAGGTACTTACCATGGCACAGAGCGTGAGTAAAGAAGAACGTCAGTGTCAACAGCAACGCTGCAATTATTTGTGTTTGTAAATTTTTCATCGCCCGATAAATTTTATTTTAACGGAATAAAGAACGGACAAATACGAAATGTGATTTTTCTTTTTATGTCTTTCGTGTCTGATGGATTTTCGGACGATTTCGTATGAACACCTCACGCAAGCTCCTCTATCGTAGCGCTTTCGCCTGTCGTCAAAGACGGTGACGGCGTTGGTTGAATGAATGAGAGTGTCGATCAACCAGTATGGGCTTTTATAAGGAACCCGGTGGGCGGTGCTCGTCAACTTGACGCAACAAATCAATTCGCCAATCCCAGGTTTGAGGCGGCACAGTTTTCCTGTGTTACCATAATGACTGTTTTAAGGGTTTTAAAAATACCTAATATATGATTAAAAATAAATCTCCTATATATTATATAACACTTACGAATATTGTAATAGATAAAATAGAATTAACTGGTCGCGCGATGTCACTCATCTATGTTCATTCGAACCATATTTAGTTTTTCGAAATATTTGGTTTATAAGTATGTGGTATATGTTTATATAATAAGTGTATATGTACGAGTACATACGTCATGTGATACGTACCTATTATATTATTTTATAACATCGTTTTAAGGTGACTTTTAACGCTTATTTTCAATCCCACGTTTATTGAGCACCGCTCAAGTGTATATTAAATTATATTTTAACGTCGACTTTTGATTTTCAAATTCTGTAACTCGATATTTCCGTAGAGTATAATACGAGAGATACGCTAAAATCGTACCGTTTATTCACAGTTTTTCGAATTCCTTTAAAATACCACTTACAAACTTTCAAATTCTTATATAAATATATTATACTAACTATTCTCTGGAGTGCAATGTAGGTATACAACCTATATCGTTTAGCTAAAAATGAAAAAGAAGTTAAATAATATAATATATATTGGCGTAACAAGAGGAGCTAAGAGAGACTTATCTCTCTGTAAATGTTTTTAGCACCTCTTAGTATTTAAACCATATCATTGCAAATATCCATCAAGCTTTTTATGTCTATATTTTAATTAATAATTATGTTTTATTAAAGTATATACAGTAGAACCTCGATTATCCGGGGTAATGATGGGGAGAGGGTCACACGGATAAATGAAAATCACGATTAATCGAGACTTTTTATAATAATGAAATTTTAAAAATTTTGATTCAATTGTAATTAGAAATATACATAAGAAGACGTATACATACAATAATGTTATACATACGTCCTACATCCATAATATTGTATACCTACAACAAGTTATTAGGGCTTAAAATATGAAGTTATCGTCAAAAATGTCATTAATACGATTGTCGATATCGAGTATTATGTTTAAAAATGTTCGGAAGAATGGGCACGGTTAATCGCAAACACGGATAATCGAGTCACGGATAATCGAGGTTCTACTGTATTAAGATTTTGAAAGAAAATAGATTGATTCATAAAGTGTGCTCATAACCATTTTTTTTTTTTTTTTTTTTTAATAACACATTTTTTCGAATTTTGATTTTTAACAATTTAAATATACTTAAAGACCATTTTTTCAACTACTTTTTCAATTATTATAAGCCACCTTTTTCATATAAATTTTAAGCATATAACATTTTTAAAACGTTGATACATCTAAATTAAAATGTAAGTGAGTAGTATTTGAGTTATTCAACTTTGTGTACCTTTGATAATAATGCCATGATTATTTTAAAATCATAGTTATTCATATTAATCTATTAACATTTTACAATTTTTTTAAGTTGAATGAATCTTATATATTAGATGTGTGTTAGATTAAATATTAAAAATAAGTTTGCATCGTTACAACTTACAGGATACTTCTTAAATAGTATAAAAATCAAAGTATTTGAAAATATGGCCCTTAAGAGGTTGCCTACTATTCGTAGCTTATTTATGAATATGTATCCATTAGTTTTGCGCAAACGAACGGAGATAGTATCTACAAGTACAATAGTATTACTAAATTTTTACTATACATATATATTATAATGTTTTGATTATTTTAATAACTTAGACAATTCGAAATATTCATTTGTACAGATTTAATTTTTTATTTATTCATTTATTTACTAAAACTATTGAATAATGAAATTAAAAAAAAAAAAAACTTTACGATACAGATAAAGTTGCCTTCTGTTGTTTTAAAATTTAGTAAATCTTGCTTGAAACTAATTTTTCTATATCATCTCATTATTATGTAATTAATATTGTTGGTACTGGCATGAGACATATTTTAAAATACTTTAAATTAGTGTTCAATTATAATGTACTAAAAATATTAATTAAGATTAAACATTTTATATGTATATAACATCTATATCTATGATGTCATACAATGATAAGATAAATTCAGTGATTTCTACAATAAACATAGAAAGTGAATTCGATTAATGAATAACAATCATTAATGATATTTTAAAAGTTTTCGATTGAAAAAAGAAGCGTGTACAATTTATTATAAAATCTATTATATGTGCTTACTGTTCAGTTAAAAAAATTATTTTTAGTATTAACGACATGATTATTAGCTTATATTAAATTATTTACATCAGATTAATTTATGTTAAATAGGCTTATCGTAAAATTAAATATGTATACTAAATACATTGTTTACACTTAATTACTAAGAATTATTTTTTTACGAAGTATGGTTATCATATTTTACTATATCTTTTTACATACCTTTTAATTATACGGCTTTTTTTTTAATGTTAATTTTATAGAACTCAACTTCACCCTTAGCTGCAACTACTAAATCCTATTTATACCATTTATGTTTAAATTTAATAATTTAATCAACCTTATAGAACGCCTATAATATCTCAAATTAATATTTTATTTATTATTATTTATAAATAAAAAAAAATCATTTGTCTGCTATGTATTTACTGATATTAAATTCTGTTCGTTTTTAAATGATAATATAAAAGATTATTAAATAATAACATAATATAATACGCCATTTGTTTACAGCATAATATAAAATGAGTAAATGTTACTAATTTTATTAAAAACTTTAACATATTTAATTTGTTACCCACACTGTACAACCTTCATTTATAAAATATGCATAGGTAGTTTTAACTATATATTATAAGAAAAAATACTTTCTCACTAGATACATAAAAGTGAATAATTAATGGTTTCAATATTAAATTTAAATTTACAAACATTATTTTAACATATTTATTTTGTTCAAATTAATTTTTTTTGATATTATCATACTATTGGATAGGTACTATCCAATCGATTAAATTGATTTTATTATATATTATTTAATTTGTAATTTTTTAAACGCAGATTATCAGCTATTATACAATAAACTGCCGTAATACAGGATTTAAATACCATACAGGATGACTAACACTAATATTTTCTTTTAATAATACATTTATTCAAATTCTGATATCTGAATTTGTTCGAGTGCAATAAATACTAAATTCAATATTACGTCCATTTTATATTTTTATAAAAATTGATTTTTAAGAACTACTATTCTCAGTATACTCATTTAATATAATTTAGCCATGAACTAGTTTTAATTTGAATTTAGATCCATAAAAATACTTAAAATATGAATTTGTTTGACGACTTTATACTAAAAAAGTTAGTTCTCATTTGAAAAAAAGAAAATATATTGCTACAAGATACTCTTTAAAAGGTACAAAAATATATATGATTAAAAACATGATCCTTAGTACACCTACATCCAATAATTTCAAAAACCATAAGTCGAAATATTCAGAAAAAATAGGGAAAATATGTTTGGTGAAACATCCTGAATATTATATTATACAAAGTATAAACATATAATGCAATGAATTATATTTCTAAATTGAGCAACTGAAATAAAAAATAAAATTTTGATAATTAATATGAAATAATTTCAAAGAGTATATAACATAGTTGTACGTACTGTCCTTGGCCGAATGGAAATTCTATTATTTAAAAACATAAACTATTGACAAGTGCTACAGTCCACAAATATTGAAAACTTACACCATAAATTAATTATTTATATAAATATTTTTTAAATTTTGTAGCTGTCAAGTATTTATTTTTCATCGTGTCCCACTATTATTATGGGACTAAGGGTGTATAAATTTGAATTCAATTTTACCTATAGCATTTACATAAAAAATGATTCTTAGTCGAAAAAAGCCTATTAGCCTATGATATTATAAAATCACTAAGCAAGTATATTTCATGATATGTTTTTTTTTTTTTTTTTAATAAACCTATTAAAGCCATTTATTTTACTTTTAGTATTACGGTAGGTTGATGTAGTTTTTTCTTGGATTATGTATTATTTGATTATTATAATATTATACATCTATATATTTACCTATATCATATTATAAAAATGTAACTCTTCTGTATACGTATACCGAAAAATAAGTAATCTATTTTCATAGTTATATTTTATGTTTAGTTATATATTTGCGTAAAGTAAAATTCATAATGATATAATATATGTTAACATTTTTAATGAATAATATTTCTAAATTGCAACAAAATTATTAAAATATCGTTATATATCGTTTAAATAAGTAATTTTGTCCAAATTTTAACTTAAAATTTTTTAAAAAAATTATATTTATATATTTTTTTAAATTTTATGGTTTCTATATAAAATACTTATGAAAAATTTTGTATTAAATTTTCAAAACTTAGACATAAAAGAAAAGTTTTTATTTTTTACTATCTACAAAGAAGTTTGTAACTTTTTGACGAATTTTGTTAAAATTCTAACTTCAAATACATGATAAAAAAAAAGTGATAATATATTTTTAATATTTTTTAGAGATATAAGTGTAACACATTTGGAATTTTGTATTATATTTTTAAGTATTTTGGCCTTAAAAATAATTTTTTATTGACAATTATAGTAAAAAACAAACTAAAAATATTGAAAATTTCTCATGCTTAAAAATAGCTCAAAAAGAGTTAAAATAAGTTGAAAATTTGATAACATAACGAAAATTACATTGAAACAAATGGTTATTTAATGAGTGAATGCTTAATGTTGTTTAAATTTGTACTTCAAATGCTTTTAAAAATTGCACTAAAAAAAGTTAAAAAATTTCAATTGTTTATAAATAGCTTAATTTTTTTTTCCATCTATAGAAAATGATAACATGACATAAGCAATTGATGAAAATTCTTGAGATC